ACCCCCTCCCCCCTTCCCAACGGTCTAACCCGTACCTACATCCCCACCCCCTCCGGCCCCCTCGAACTCCTCTGCGCCCTGCCCCCCACCACCTCTTCCCTCCCACCCTTATTCTTCGCCCACGGCGGCTTCGGCTGCGCCTCTGTCTGGATCCCTTTCATGCAGTACTTCAGAGCGTGCGGATACCCGTGTTATGCGATTAGCTACCGGGGCCATGGCGGGAGCTGGTACCCGGGGTTTTGGGAGTTATATTTTACGGGGAGGGGGAGGATGGCGGGGGATCTTGTTAAGGGGATTGAGGCGGTGGAAGGGATGGAGGGGAGAAGGATGGGAAAGGAGAGGGAGAGGGTGGTGTTGGTTGCGCATTCGGCAGGGGGAGCGTTGGGGCAGTGGGTTTTGGGGAGGGGGATGGTTAGGGTGAGGGGGTTTTGTATGCTTGCTGCTGTGCCGGGGTTCGGGTCGTATGTTTGTCCTTTTCCTTTTCCGTTTCGTTTTTGTTGGAGGACTGCTATGCTTGATGGATCAAAGAAGATGCTGACAGGGGTGTAATAGGTGGTCGTGCTATGCGTTTTGGGCCAAGTCAGCACTGCCAAATTTCGTTTACCGGTGCTTCCATTCTAGGTATCTACTTGCAACCACCAAGCAAGTCAAGGACCCGTTCTTTACGGCGTCGACGCCTTGGTCGGTTGTACAGGCTTTGGAGCGCCTGCTCAGTCCATACGAGTCTATGCTCTGGCCCATACAAGCACTTTTTCCAATCGTCACAGGCCCAGATGTTATTCAATCCATCGATGGGTGGAAGCCAAAACAGCCAGGAACATCAGTTGTGGGTAAGAAAGCTGGTGTTGTATCGAGACTGTTCGTTCTTGCTGCCGAGTTTGACGTTCTCTGTACACCGTCTGTCCTGCTGGATGCCGCAAAACGCTACCGTACAGCATTCATCGATTGCGTGAGACTAAAAAAGCTGGACGGCATGGCTGAGGATTCTATCGACGCTGCAAGTGACGAGAATGCAGATTGCAACGGTGTAAAGTTTGAAATCGTGAAAGGAGTGGCGCACCATTTGCAAAACCACGTCGAGTGGGAAAAGGGTGCTGAAGCATTGCTTGACTGGGTCAAAGAGCTCGATTGAGGTCTTGTAGCCAGCATTTTCTTATTGCCAATAATCCATCCTCTGAACAAAGAAATGTATAATAGAGATAATCCCCACTTGAAACCACAAGCTATATTTACTCTCCGAGGTGGTGATGATCTTCGTCGGTAATCTGATTGGAAATAAACTTACTGAAATGCACACACTATAGTATGGGAGGATGAACTATGGTTGAGTGAATATCCGCACCATATTTTGTACTTTTGGGCGAAATCTCCGGGCACGACGGTATTTGAAGACAGAGAAACGTGCGCCATGACTTTTCATCCAACATCACAGCATATCACTCCACATCACTCCGTATCACATAAAGATAAACATTTGCCATTGACGTCTGCGTGTATGCGTACATGCACATTCCTCCCCTCAATACCAACCAAAAACATTGCCGTTATACAAAATCGGTTGGTATATATTTTCCCTTTTCCCAATTCTCTACGCCATGGACCCCATTGTTAACCGTAGACTCGAGAAAACAACCGTGTCGGGTTCAAAAGCTCCTCCAGAACACACACCCGCCTGGAAAAAGAAAGGAAGGCTCGAAGCCCAAACGTCGTCGCCGACGAAGATGCCCTCCAAAAAACGCCGAGCGCAACTCTAGACTGGCGCGCTACAAGTGAATAAGAGAAGGAATCGTTGTATAAGTGCCTGCACAACGCCAGTGAAATGATGAACCCAAACGTCAACCGTATATACACCCCACCCATAGACAGTTTACTAAAGGGAATGTCGAAGAACAAGTCGTCATCACCCGACGTCGCAGACGACAAGTTTCGTAATCACATTGAGCAATTGGCCAACCCCGGGTGTTCCTTTGCCGTTCCAAATGTCCGGCCCGATAAGGAATGGTTGCAATCTAGTATTGTTGTAGGGAGTGACCAAATTGCAGAGATTCCTGGATGTCAACAGGATGTTTACAATGACACAACGCCAAGCGCCAGTGCATGCATTGCTGAGAGTGACGTCGATGCGTCCGAGAGAGAGAGAGAGAGAGAAGGAGAGGAAGGAGAAGGTGCGGAGATTACAAAGTTGTAAGAGGTGGAGGGTAGTGGTCGTCGAGGCTGCCAGTGGCTCGTAGGTTACACGAGAATGATGACAGCGTTCTCACTCCCAATTATCTGAACCTAGGTGAGCGACAATCTCAGTAATTGGAGGGGTAACGAGCGGTATCTTCTTGGTGGGGTGAGGTGTTTCGATTGGGTGGGTATACGAACCGGTTCATCATCTGGCCTTGCTGCATGGGCATCATGTGGACACCATTGGGCTGCATTTGAGCGATGCCATATGGGTTTTGGTGGTTAATATCACTTCCAAGGAAGTTGTTCATGGCAGCGCCGTGCAGACCTTGGGCCTGTGACACTGGGCAGTCCTTGTGAGCAAGGAGAAGTGTCTTGAGATTGACAATCTCTTCGCGAAGCTGGGTGACAGTGGCAGAGAGGGCGTCATTCTCTGTGCTAAAAAGCTCGACCTTGGCCTGAAGGTTGGCGAGCCACTGCTTCTTGCGTTGTCGACACTTGAGGGCAGCAACCCTGATTTACGTAAGTAACGTGATGTGGAAGCAGAACATGTGTTACATACCTGTTACGCTCTAGGAAGTTCTTGCGCTTCTCCTCGTCGGTCATCTTGCGGCCCTTGCTGTCATACTCCTCCTCCTTGATGTTGTTGTTCTCATCGTCGGAGTCGCCATCATCCATGTCGTCACCCATGCCTTGGTTGGCGTTGCTCTTCTTTCGCGAGTTCTTGGGGCCGTCCTCAGCCTTTCGCTTGTTACCGGCAGCTTGTTTGCCATTAGCGGCACCCTTCTTCGCGCGTGACCGTGTGCCGGTCTTGGCTTGCTCACTCTGGCCGCTCTCTGAGAAATCTCCAGTCTCTGCGGATTGAACGCTGTTAATAGAGCCCTTGGTGTCACGACGGCTGTGGTTGGCATTGACAGGTTGGACAGGCATGTGACCAGCGTTCATGGACTGCTGCTGAGGCGCCATCGAGTAGGGCTGTTGGTTGTTACGGGCAGCACCGTTTTGACTAGCAAAAGACAAGAGGTCGTTAGCCGCGCTACTGACGTCATGATTGGGATAGGGTTCATTATGAGCGCGCTGTTGGGGCGGTTGTGCCTGTTGATAGCTGTTGGTTTGGCGATCCATTACAGCAGGTGCGGCTTCGGGCTGGGACGTAGGGGCGTTGGACGTTGCCTTGTTAGTGTTGCTGTTGTTAGCCTGGTGCTGGGCAGCCGCGCGCAAAGCAGACTGCTGGAAATCGGCAGTTCCAGGCGTGACACCAGCGCTCTGAAGATTGAAAATAGCTTGTGTGTTGGGGCTGGGGGCTGGGAACATAGAACCGCCTCCGCCAGGCGTGAGACCAGTACGAAGAGAGGACTCGTTTGGTGTCGGGAAACCTCTGAATGACTCGCTAAAGTAATCAGTTTGTCCAGTTGGACCGCTGAGCATAGCAGGACTCAGGGGACCAGCACGCAAGCCCTGCCACCCAGGTGTGATGCCAGGAAGGGGTGAAGGTGACGTAATGTTGGCGACTGGGGGGAGAATGGGGCGGCCTCCAGGAGTCTGTAGGTTTCCAGAGTCGCCTCCAAAGGACTGCTCGAAAACGTTGGGCTCAAGTGAGAAGGGGTTGTGTACCGTGTTGAAATAATCGGGTGTATCGCCAGTGGTTGCGGGCGCTGGTTTTGGTGGAGGAGCCAATGGCTGGGCATTGGATGTCGTGGGCTTTGTGTCGGTAGAGCTGACTGCTTCCGTGGTAGCAGCTGGGGGCAGGTTAGCATGCTGTGTTGATGGCAACAAGGAACTGCACGCAGCAGTAGCAGTAGCAGTAGCAGCAGGTCAAAGGGGGAGAAAGAGGGGACGTCAATGGCAGGGCTACTTACGCTGTGCTTTGGGAGATGACTCTGACGCCACAGGCTCTACTACAGGACCACGGTTAGTAAGGCTTGCACGAGATAGCGATGATGCAATGGGCGTCGGGAAAGGTGAGGGTGACGACAATGCATAGGCGCAACACAGCAGACGGGCGCAGCAGCAATGCGACGATGTGAGGCGGCGGTGAGGTCGGGCAGGCAGGACAGGGTGAAGACAAGGGGGCAGGAGGTCGGGCTACGCACCTTCAGACTTTGTCACGACAGTGAGACTATTTTTGCTGTCCTTGGGGGAGGACATGTTGGAGGACGGGGACGAGGTTCGGGCAGTCTGGGATGCAGCTGCCATACTTTGGGGTGGTGACGTAGCGGGGATAACGAGGGCGATCGCCTGGTGGTGCTTTCAGGCCTCGTCTCTTGTCTCGTCTTATTTTCACTTTTTGCCGGGGGCAACGCGACGTGTCGGTGGCAGGTACAAGGGCCGCACGCGCACTTGTGGCTGGCGATTCGAGCAACTGCGTAGGCTGCTCCTTCTACAACACGGTCAAAGGGGTCAGCGCATGCGCCTGTGGTGGTTGGGAGTCAACGACGCGACAGACGTGGTTGTCGACCGAGAGATGATGGGCGGTCCGGGGCAGTGGCAGGCGGTGGGAACGTGGCAAAAGTCGGGCGCGAGAACAACAACAGCGACGTGGGCAACGCAACTACGTACCTCAGCAATGGGAAAAGGACGGGCGGCCAATGCGGGGTAGGGCCGTCTGAATCGGACAGAGTCGATACTGTGGAACGCGGGCGAGGTGGTGGCAGAGCTGGTTGAGAGTCTGGCAGACGAATTTCAGTGGTGACGTCAAGCCCCTGGGGCGACGCTGGGTGGCCGTCGCAGCAGGGCGTAGCGAAGCAACAATGGCCCTGGGCTTGGGTCGTGGGCTTGGGGCGACTGCACCGCGCTCCTGAGCTGTGGTTTGCGCGTGCTGGTCGTGATACTGGAACCTCGATGAGGCTCAAATTCCGGCGGGTGGACGGGGATTGTGCGTGTGGTGACGATGACAGTGAGGCGTTCGCGATGAGGTCAGAGGACAGGACGAGCGAGCAATTTCTGGGAGTGACGCAGCCCGCGCCAAGCACATAACGTGATTTCCTGGTTCGTAATCAAACACTGCCGCCCCCGTCGCCTGCCCGCCAATCATACACGGCTACGCCCCACCTCCGCCCACACACCCGCCGATCTGCACCCCCTTTTGGCCGCCCTGCCACGAGCGTGCAATCACACTACTCTGCCTCGTCGATGCCGCCATGCGATAATCCCCTACTACGCCCATTGCCCACACGACAACGACGACGACGACTACTACTGGCCAAATGTCTCTACATACCACGCCCCTCCATCCCCAGCCATGCGCATTGAATACTACACCTGCACCCACGCCTTCACTCAATACCACCACCACCACCAGAACATCCACCTCCCCCACCTCCTCCTCCTCCTCCTCCTCCACTACTCCCACCACTACTCACACCATGGCCACTACCACAACCACTAACCCTCACACGTCATGCTGCTGCCACCGCCAGTGAAGCTGCTGGGCCCGCTGTAACGGCCAACGGCTCCCTTTCTGCCATATGCCGGTCCCGTTCCAGACCTCGATTCACCCATGTTTCGTCGATCCACGCTTCCCTCTCCATTGTATCGGCTTCAGGCATGCCAAAGCATCCTCTCACTCTCCGCGGGCCTCGCCGCTGCCCTGCCAATCACCTGCCCCCGTCCCCTACACGGCCTTGTTTTTTTCCATGTCCATCGCGATCTCAACCATCGCCAAGTCACTGCCCTCTCCCCTTCAGCGACACGGCCAGGTGCTCCATCTGCTGCCACGGCCTGCCCCCTTCTGCTCAGGGGGGCCTGCCTTTGATGCGCGCACGCGAGCTAACCATCGTCTCCCTGCTAGTTCGCTAACCAAGGCGTGAACCGGTGCATATCAAAGCAATAGGTGGCTTGCCGCTTCCCCGGACTCGCATTCCTTTTGCTGAATTACTCTCGACTCCTCTGGCAATCAACAAAGCACTCGAGGCATGGACTGCAGCTAACACCTGCAGCATGTCCGTGCAAAGCAAAGAGGAAAATCACGACCCTCGTCGACCTGCTTTCATCATTGCGTCACTCTGGTACCTTCACATCACAAATACCTCAACTCTCGCACCATGCTTTTTCTTTTTTTGCTCCCCGGCACTCAGCTACACACCACCACCTCTAACCTGCCTGAATCATTTGCAGTCGGTCTAGAAGTGATCGGAAACGATCGATTCTATTTCCAGCTTTGCTGATAATTTAACTTTACTGCACGGTGCTTTTTCCCGTCAACACGGCTACTACTACCAGCCAACCATGGCTTTGATTCAGGGCGACATGCAGTAGGTGTAGACAACGACATGATTTTTGCTGTTGGAAAGTCCGCGGATGAACTTGTTCTCCCCGGCTCCACGATGCATGCACGTAGTATGTTGATATCTGGCAACGGTGCGATACCCTGTGGTCTATAAGAAGAAAGCCATGAGATGGAGATTACGTCGCACTGCAATTATCCCACGACCACGGTCCCGTGTCGAAAAAGTGGTCTAGCCGTAAATCCATCACTATCACACCCGACCCCCTTTCCCAATATGGTCTAGGAGGAAAAAAGTTTACTTGCAGTCAAACTGTCTCGAGTTCAACTGAATTGTTTGTCAATCGACGATATCTTTTAGTGTACCGCTAAGATGAGACAAACAAACATTGTCTGTCACGTTTGATCATCTGGACGTCATGACTCGTTTTTGCAATATCGAGGACATGATGTCTGGACACTCCATGAGAAACAAGGATGGGATTGTATAGGCAATGTACAGGACTATACTCCCTGCAGCCTTACCGGGAAAAAAATCGAGATTTAGAGTGCGATGAAGAAGTGCAAAATATTACCAGTAATCTGCAGCAGATCGTCGTGCTGTGGTTGACTCGGAGTTTGTCAAACATATCGTGCGTGCTCATCAGTGCATAACCTTGTATTTATCCAATCATGCAGGAATTCATCGCACTTACACTTGCATGTACTTTATATCTTCCCCAGATATTGACAAGAGGCATATATGTACGTACAAGTGTAAACCCTAAGTCGCTCCTTCCGCCATGACCATGATGCCAAGTCTACGTGTCACACAAAACTACAGGCTAATATAGCACTTCTAATTTACCAGGTACACAAACACCAATTCATTCCAATACTGATTCTTGTTTAAAAAAATCTCATTATTGATGCATTCGCTTGGCGTACATGCTCTGTTCATGCATAGCACGAGATGTGAAGCCAGGATAGCACATGTACACCAGACCACTTTACAATCTCACCACGCCGACATAAAAAAAAAGATAAAGTATAGAGATTTTTATCAATTCACATGACCCCCCTTGCCAATCGTAACCATGAATGCGACGCCAAATGCAACAACATATCATAGGTGTAGTATCGGTACCTGCCTAGCATCGGGGAGCTCCGAAAGAGTGGGCTGGAGGGGTATCGTATACAACCTACCCACCTTCCCTCTTAACCCCAAAGTAGCACACCACTTCCCTCCTCACAACCTCCCTCCACCTACCTACCTACCTACCTACCTAACTACCGCCGTACCTCCAATCTCTACAGACCCCACCTCTCCGCCATCTTCCCCAGCGAATGCCAACTCCCTCCACCCCACGCCTAACCTCCCTCCTCTCGCACCTCTCGACCCCAACCCCACCACCCTCCAGCAACATCGCAACCACAACAACCACAATGTCGGGCAATCCCCCCACAAAACCCCCAATCACATGTCACGTCCTCGACACAACAATCGGCCGCCCCGCCGCTAACATCCCCGTAACCCTTACTTTATACCCCTCCCCCTCTTCCACCACCACCACCTCCTCCAGCTCAACCCTAACCTTCACCGCAACAACCAACACCGACGGCCGCGTAACCGCCTGGACGCCCTCGACGCCCTTCTCCTCCACCACGCTCGCCGAAGCATTCGCACAGCCAGGAGATCAGAGGTACGGATTGACGTTTGATACGGAGGCGTATTTTGGGGAGAGAGGGGTAGCGACGTTTTTTCCAGAGGTGGAGGTCAAGTTTGTGGTGAGGGAGGGGGGGAAAGGGGAGCATTATCATGTGCCGGTGCTGCTGGGGCCGTTTGGTTATACGACGTATCGGGGGAGTTGATTGAGTATGGAACTGGAAGGAAGGGGGGATACGTGTGTACACATGAACATGGGAAGGAGAAGAAGAAGGGAGAAGGAGGTGTGTATATGATTTTGAAGATTGAGCAAAGGAAGAGGGATTGATAATATATCAACACTACTGCATTTCTAACATATAGCGCAAAGGACGAGGAAAAAAAGACTTTGTGTCTCTCCCCATCTATTGGCTTTTTTGCTAATACGGCTATTTCTTTCTCCATCTACACTTTCTTCCTCCTTTCCACCTTTCTCTCACTTACTCCAACAACTCACTCAACTCACAGAGAGAACCACCCCCTCCTCATAGATACATGTGGAAAAATATAAAAAAAGGAAAACGTACGTCGGCGCTAGACGTCAAGTATGAACAGATAGAAAATAGAGAAAAAAAATAGATCATGACCTTCTGAAAAGAGGAAGGAGCAACAAGCAAAAAGATCCTTGGGATATCAATGAACGGGGGGAGAGAGATGTCGAGAGACACACAGACACACTGAGGCGCACACACACACATCTATAAAGATAGAGAGGGAGCGCGCGGAAGAAAGAAGAAAAAGGTGGGGGTATCCAAGACAGGATTCGGGAAGCAGAACAGGGAGAGAGAGAGAAGTAATGGCATCCGAGATTGCCAGATCTCAGTCCAATACAACACACAGTTCCCCCCTCCCCAACAAGACCCTATGATTTCGTAGAATTCAAGAAACACACAAAAAAACACTAGCTCGGCCCAGCCTTGCTGGACTTGGGGTGGAGGGTTTCCAATGTCGAACCCGTGGACATTCGAGTTCCCCACGTCCCATTATGAAAAGAATCGAAAAAAAAGTTTTGTTCGATTTACAGTTCACTTCGGTTGGTGTCTGCAAAGGGACTGGTATCTCTTCGGTTGGAGATGGTGCTGCCTCGCTTTGAAGCTGATGATTCTTCAACAATGGGTGTCATTGGGGTGCGGAGGCCAGATGATGGGTCGTAGGATGTGATGCGATGAGACATCATGGGCCGAGGGTTGTCGAGCGATGAGTTGTCGGAAAAGGGGCTGTTGTCCATGTGGGGAGTTGTGTCTTGGAATTCAGTGACATCAGAATCACGGTTGGTTGATTTGCCGAGGAGTGTCTGGTTTGCGCGTGTGTGGTCATCCTCGTCGTCTTCAGTGTCCGATGCCAGACTTCCTCTGCGTGCGCGTGAGTGTTCCCTTCCATCGTTGGATGAGAGCGTGGAGCTGGCAGTGAGAGGTCGTCCGGCGGAGGCGCGACGGTCGGGCGAGTTGACTAGGGTTCGTTCGGTATCCGTGGTTGAGCTTGAGCTCTTTGGTGGGGTGGTCTCGGAGCTCTTCTTCTTGGTGATATGGAGGGCCTTGACCGGACCGAGCTGGGCGGTGCTACGGACAGAGTTGGCTGGGCTGATACCGGGCATTTGGATGCGAATAGGCTTGAGGGAGTGCTTGGGGTCGATCGAGGGTATTGGTGGTGTCTGGGTGGGTGTTTCTCCTGGGCTGGTTGATCCTGTCGACTTTACGCTAACGACGGCGGCCTTGCCACGCACAATGGTCTGGGCAGGAAGTGGAGAGACAATGGCGTTCTGGCGGTACATGGTCGAGGCGACGCTGCCTCGTTGGGCAAGGCTGGGTGCGATGCTGGTGCGGCCAGCAGTGCTAGAAGACATCATGGAGTCGCGGAAGTCGGGGACGAAGAAGTGCTGGTCGGCAGACGCATAGGGGCTGCTCTTGCCCGACGAAGGCGACATGGAGGGGATCGGAGGGACGGGAGGAACAAGCAGGTCGGGAGATCCGGGGTTGCCAGAGCGATTGGTGACGCCAGGAATGTAGGCGATTTGGATAATGTTTGAGGCGCGAGTGAGGACGGACGAAGCCATGGAAGCGACGGTGTGTGTGGATGCGCGGGCGCTGCGGCGGGACTCGAAGTCGTTGTCCTTTTCTTGCTCGACAACGTCGACATGGCTCCATTCGGGCTGTTGGGAAATGGGCCTCCTCTTGCCCTTGAGGCAGTACTTCCAGACTACGAATGTAAGAATGGCGACAGCTAGGATACCTCCAATGACACCGCCGGCGATGGCGCCAACATTTGGTTTGCTAGGCTCAGGTGGAGCAATGGTAGGGTCGACCTGGCAGTTGACGGAGGCGCACTCGTCGCATGTTCGCGAGTTCTGGACACAGACCTGGTTGGCTGGGCACTTGATGCCCTCGCAGGACAATGGTGCTTGCTCGCACAGCTTGCATCGCTTCTCTATCCGAAAGACGTTTTCGGCGTCTGGCAGCAGGTTAGCATGCGGCCATGTGGGATCGTCTGGCGGGTGCGGATGGTACCTCGAAGCGCACGGATAGACATGGTGGGCGGTTAGGGGATCAGCGGACCCTTATGATGATGGTGAAGGCGAAGATGGCGGAGAAGAAGAAGAAGAAGAAGAAGAAGAAGAAGCAACGTAGGCCAGCAGTCAGCCGTGGACACACCCGGGTCGGGGTGCAGCAGTGGCTGGTTACAGGTAAGTCGGGGCGGAAATAACGGTGCGCGTGGAGTGCAGTTGGGTGGGTGGTTGTGAAGGAGGGTTCGGCGCCGGGTGGCGAGCTAAAGAGGGCGGCGCAAAGAAGAGGAAGAACAGAAGACAAATAACGAGTGACGGCGAACAAAGGCGGGCGGGCTGTCGCGCAGCAAAGAAGGGCGGCGACGATGGCGACGACGTGGGATCGGGAGGGTGAGGGAGTGTGTAGTAGGGTGAAGGAAGAGACAAAGAGGCAGGGCCGTGGGCGGCGGGTGCGCAGCGGCGGCGGGCTTGTAAGATGAGGGTATGGGGGTGGGCAAGGGCCGAGAGTGTCTGGCTGGCCCAGGGAGGCCGCGCGTGTTTCGTCTCGTTCCGCGAGGGCCAGAGGCTGCAATGTGCCCGGCGTGGGACAGCGTCAAACTCGGGCGGGAGACTCGTCTACTTGGTATGCTCTTGGGAGGCAGTCTTGTTGGCGATGGTGTAGCAAGCCGTCGGCAGGCGGGCGATCAGGTGTGGGCTAGCACTTCTCATATAACGGGTGGTGGTGAAGGAGCGGGCGCATGTACCGCATAGTACAGCAGCCGGACCAACTGCCTATCCTCACCACCACTCGGCCGTTCGTGGTCAAGCGGCCTCGGTCCAATCTATTTATTGCAGGCCCAGCCGTGTGCGTGCGAGCTGCCGCGAACCCAGCGAACTCCCGCCCAGCTGCTTAAGCCCTCAACCTTGTGCCGGCCCGCTGCTGCCATTGGCCATGTCCCCGTCAGACTGCGCGTCTAGATCTTGGCCCAGTCGTCGCCAGCAAGTCACCAGAGGTAATATCTTCAGTGCAAATGTACTCTGTACACATGTCCTCCTATCACGGCTTGCTGCCACTCGTCTGTTGCGGCAAGCCACTGGCACGCCTGTCCTCAACATACTGTCCTAACCCTCCATTCCCCTACTGCCGGGCTCCTCAACACCACCGTCCTGGTGGCTGGATCGGTCGGTCTGCCATCTGCCATCTGCTATCTGCATCCGCATCCGCATCCGTCCAGTGCCTGGCTTACCCTGTTGAACATTGTCTGCGAGACAAGCTGTAAGTCTGTCGTTATCGCCCTCTGTGGGGTGAGCCCGTATCCGCATCCCTTCATTTCCTTTGCCTCAGCCGCGCCACAAGCCGACGACGCGCCACCTTTTTTTCCCACCTCCCCGTCTTACTGTGTTCCATTCGCAAACACATAAACACTGCGTATATCATCATGGGCTATGCCCCTTGTCCACTCCACTTTGGCTTTTTTCCTTGTCGTTGCTGATCTCAAACGGTCGAGACCGCCGCATCTCACCTCCCTCTTTGGCCCTCGGCTCGCCCCCCATCCACTCTTTTTCTTTTCAACCTTGCAGCCATCTTATAGGCCCAGGTATCTGTTAATCATTCTGCACTCATTTTTTTTCACATTCCCCATGCGGCTTTTCCCCCCCCAATAGCCTGTTCTCTTTCGCTTGCTTTCCAACAATTCGTCCGTTATGCACAAGTACCCCTTTTTTGCCTAAACATATACTTCTTCCCAACTACATGAATCACGTTTTTGTGCATTTGCTGTCGCAACTATATACTAACTACCACCATTGGTCTCCGCCCGTGGCTTGTCTTGGCTTCAGAGCCACCTCCATCACTTTCCATGTTTCCTTTTCGCCATACAAACTCTGTCATCCTCCCCCGCCATTCAACCCGCTCGAACGGCTGAAAATAGCCCCCAAACTGTATTCTCGACTCATGTCCAACTCTGATCCCTAGACCATCATTTACCCGTATTCAACCAAACTCACGCCCATGCTTCACCGTCGCATCTCCACCTCAACACCTCAACATCATCATTGTAAGCAAGGTAGTAGATGCAAAAGAGACTGTATACTTCATCCTATTCCCTGTTGACGCGTCATTGTCCTGCGACAAGAAAGGATATGTAAAAAAGAATGCACGACAGCTGTGCACCTGTCTACACATACACAACCCGTCTTGGGCCTCAACATGTCACCTTTGCATGCCACTGTAGCATCACCTGCGTGTCGCATAGATTGCCCGTCTCCAAAGTCTTCCCAAGAGCAAGAAATTGTCTTCACTGTCGTCTCGTACCCTCGTTCGTCACTTGGGAAATGAAGAACGCCAAAGTAATATCGATACCCCTCAAGCCCGGTGGGAAAAGAAAAACTTGGAGCTATTGATCGAGGAGACCAGAAAATGAAGTAATATACGAAGGAGGAAAGTGTCCAAGGGCTTTTGTAAGAGTCGTGTATCCAGCCTCGGAACCGGGCCGGATATTACAATCTCACCTTCCAATCACCCTTTACACCATTCATCTCCTACTAGCAGAGGAGAAATGACCTGCAAAGAAACAAAGGCTTCTTCTCTTCTTAGCTCTTGGTCTTTGCGTCAGTTCACGTCTTCGTATCATTTCCCTCAACACCATACACGACCCCCAGGTGACTACTCTTCAGCCAGCACCGTTCCGACAGAAAATCCCTCATATCCCACTTCTCATACTTCGCCTCATCATTCGAATCTTCTTGTCTTCTTTTTTTCATTCCGCAACGGATGCATCCTCGTCCCGTCGCCGACATGCTCTGCTGGCAGTATGATCGGCATTTTGCAGCAATCCTCGTGAACCTAGTGGCCTCACTTTCCAAGTCAATGACTAGTCCCCAAAGCTCCATGTGGCGCATCCGTGGACTCCATTGAGACACCGGAAAGCTTGCCAGAAGTGAGGAAAATGGTCCCGGAATAGCACATTTCAACCTCTTCAGGCTGATGCACGTCATGATACGTCCTTGTGATCCAACAAGAAGGCCGGCGCCCCTCTTATGACCAAACCCTGTTTCGTATCAATGACACCAAGCCGTCCTTCGTGGAGTCTCTTGGTGCCTGCAAATCAGGTACATGCAAAGAAGGAGGCTGATTGCAAGTGGATGCCCCCCATTTTGCTCGTTCCAAGCCAGCGCGCGCTTGAAATTCTTTGCATGTAGTATGGATCTACACTCAGCAGTATCTCTATCCCTGCTTCATTCTTGTGACCGACCCTACCCAATCACCTCATGAGGCGTCTTTTGACATCAGCACGTACGCATCTACAGCGGGAATCTGAAAGAAAAAAGGGCGGGAGGCGGCAGCGTCCCATTGACACGACGTTTGTGGGTCAATAGCGCTCCATCGCCAGGGCCTTTCCGCATCCGGTGCTGCTATCAACGGAACTTAAGGCGACAGAACTAGGTATCCTGGTATCCATGGCAGACACCGAAGTGCGACGCGTCTTTGATTCGGTGTGGTAACTGGGCATACAATCTCCAGAAAGTGATGCTTCACATTGGCTGTTCGGCCAACACGTCGAGACTTGTCGTTATCGTGAAATCTCAAAGTGGGGCCATGTCTCGGTTGCAGGCCACGCCGGTGACTGCACTGGCCAGGAACCGAGGCAGCCTCGTGGTGAATACCGCTTTGCCTATCCGCCGAGCGTAGGCGAGCGGCTTCGGAGAACGGGGCGCAATTGCATCGGCAGACATACTACTCTGCTCGGGGAAGGTGATTCTCCCGCCCCGCAGACTTTCTGTTCGTACCCCGCATGCGTCCTACCATACCGCTATAGAGACAGATTCATCGCCGCCATACTCCCGACGAAGCTATGGAACCTCCGGCTATATCTTGCACGAATTGCAGAGTATACCGAGCTACGTCACCTTCTGCAGAACCTCCATTCCTCGTCGAAATGCTCAATGTGGTGCCTGTATAGTATGGCGTGATGCTGCATATCCCGTAGCAGGGCACCTTGTACGACCGCAGTAATACCGATAGCAGAGGTTCCTATACGGTTCCACGTCTTCTATAGTAGTAAAATATAGTCGTAGATCCTCTCGTTTTGGAAGCATCATGCCAGCCAAAGCAGTCAAATGTCGTTTGGATTCGAGCTCATGCAAGGTGAGTTGGCGTACGAGCAGATTGCATTGCAGGACTTGCGCGGTAAGCCCGACGCATGAAGGGTATGCCCTGTAACCGTGACAGGTGCTTGGATCTCGGGCATTGGGCACATGTTCGTCTCCCTCGCACACGTGTACGCGACTCATGCACCTTCTCCAAGAGTCGTGACCGTCACCAGATTGCCGATCCGACAACGATCTTGAATGGAATAACAAGCCCGGAAAAAGCAAAGCGTGGTTTTTGCACTGCGTCGGTTAGGCAAGACATCCTACTGCGAGTACGATATGGGTGTGAGCCCCAGCCGCGAGCAGTTTCACATCCAACAAAGAGTGACGACTCTTGAGCGTTTCATCACCCATCTCCATACTGCATTGCGGTTGCTCCCACTAACAGCGCCGGATTGTATTCATAATGACAAGCGGGGTAACCCAAGCTTACATCATGGACAGGCTGTGTATTGCCACTTCATGCTGGCGCTGCGTTGGTCCACCGTGGGAGAAGCCCGGATGGCTAAGTAGGGTTGATGCGTAACACTTCTGAGTAGGCGAATGGTATTCCAGTATGAAAGCTGGGGTGTCTTGGCCCTCGCATATTCATGTACCATTTCGCTGCAATCATACCCAGTGTGTGGCGTACCTGAAGGGGTCTCCCTGCTCCCCGCGACCATGGAGACCTTGTGCCCGAGGAATCTAGCGGTGAAACCAGCATAGCCGACTTGTTCACGCCATGTCACCGTCCTCTTGGTGTGGACACCGTGGGATGATAGCCGGCGTCAATCATGGAACGCCTTCTGAACGATGATCGACATGGTGTGTGTGTTCGCCAAGATGCTGTTGGTGCGTCGTCAACATCAGCCGGTCAGATTATGCCTCTAGGGAGGGTGTAAAGCGAGGAAGAGAGTGTTGTGAATCTCTTCTGAGGTCGTGGTGGCAAAGAGATCGTCTTAAAGTAACCGCAGTCGTTCTGTACAACCCGAGTCTACAGACGTGGCAGCTGTGCTGGCTTTCTCAAACACTAATGCCGAGATGTGATGCATATCGAGTTCGGCCATGGACTGTCGACGATGCCAGGTTTTCTTGACGAGTTAGGAAACTTTGTGAGCGGTCGGTTTGTAAAGGGTGTCCTGCGGTTCGGTCTTTCTCGCTGCCCAATGGCGTTGGTTGGGCTGAGCAGGGCGAACAATGAGGCGAAAGGCATCAGTGCGTCCACGCCCAACGAGGACTTGGTCGCAACGGATGCGTCGCACCTTCGCCCCGAGAGGGACCGGTGTGTAAGTGGTTATGTGTAAGCGGATCCGGGACAAGAGGCCTTTGGTCATGTGTATAAGTCTTCTGCGTGCCCAACCTCAATTCCACCACCCACACGCAACGAATATCTTAATCCGGCCCCAATCATAAATCCCTCTCGTGAACATTCCAACTCGAACAACATGGCGGTACCCAACTCCTATTTCGTACCAGGCTTTGGTATCTCAAGAGCCGTCATCCAGAACGAGATCCGATACCATTGCGGCCCAGATGCGATAGTGCGTCCTTACACTTTCCAGGTATTTGGTAACCGTTCTTGCACTATATGACAAGTGTTGACCCGCTGGTCAGGGACGTGACGGCTTCTTGATCACGACAATTGGGCCTCCACTAACCAAGGTACACGACCTGGATCATGCATTGCTACTTGGAGACTGACAAGGACAGGCTCAAATCGAGGATCTGAAGATGTCTTCTCTCGAGTACGAAGAGAAGCAATCTCGTATTGCTGACGAGACTAATGTCTTCGTAAATGCACCCATCCCGATCACCCAACGAATACGACGAAGCACCTGATGGGGTGCAAGTGCCAGCCGTGGCTTTCACACCACGACCGGGTCCTCGAAAAGCTTCTGTCTTATACCCCATACCTTGGCAGATGTATCATGTTCTCTTTGCCGGAGTATGGATTTAGCGCGCATATTGCCCCCGGGTTGGCTCTCTGATGATCTTATTATATTTGTTTTGGTTCCTCTGATGACCTGGGATTTGGAGTTTGGTTTTCCAAAGAGTTGATCTCTTCCGATGAATATTTATCTGCCTGGACAAGCTGAGAAAGTTGTAATTTTATCGTCAGTTCAAAGTATTTGTTCATTCGCCGAAGGTCCGATCTTCCCAAAAGCGTATATGCTTCCGTAAATGGTCGTGATTCGAGTCCAGTCGCGTCTGTTGTTCTCATATTTCTGGTATCTATAACGCGCAGCCGGACAAGATTCGTCTCGTTATGCGCACTGCCTGGAATACTCTTGGGAACTTAGTTGGACGTCGTTTGTGGCATCGTCACAAATGGATGTCGGATTTCGTAACGCATCGTCCGGGTTATGCTGATGAGTGAGATGGTGAGTGGAAAGGTTGAAAGGCTGAAAGCACTGACTGCCTGCGATATAGGTGCGTCGCGCCGTCGATGCCGAGCACCTGTTTTGACAGCTGGGACAGACAACATCCCGTGATGTATAGCTTCAGATTCGTTACCTGTGGATTCTTATGAGAAACAAAGGTGGGACATGAGTGTCAAGTATTGTTGATGTTGGGGTGATGGGGCGGAGCTTGAGCCACTCTCACTTCCAAGATGCAGGAACGAGTGGCGTATGATTGGACAACCCATCAAGCGAAATCGTGACTGGTGTGAAGTGTCGTCACAAACAACTCAGCGACTGATGTGACGAAAAGCGTCTCGACACGTTGCCCCATGCGCTGTTCTGTCTTATTGGTTATTGCAAGGTATGTACGTCTGGCTAACCCAAAACCAAAATCTGAATCGACGTCAAATTTAGAGGCGTGCACCTGAACCCGAAGTATACGAATCATGGCTCTCCATAGACTGGTCGTGTCCCTTTAAATTTTTATCACACACTGGCCAGCGCTGTTCAGATACATTCTGATTTTAGAATGCGCTGACTTCCTTTGCTTTGGCTGGCCTTTGCGAGTCAAAGCTTTGTTACTGCCTCTTAAGCGATACTTTACAATCAGATCCCATGCTCTCAACTACAGAGATCATGCCTAAATTGTCTACAACTCAGTTTTCTGCACCCACATGCACGCCCGTTAACGCTAAGATTGGCGATGTCCAATGCAATTGCGGGAATACTGATCTAACCGGTTATAGAATAGTCCCAAAAATGGTCACTGAAACAAGTACAACAAGTGAATTTTCACACAAATTTTCACGCCTTGATCTCCTCTTGAGCGTTCACATCTTATGCCCCTTATGAGCACAACAGAAAATGTCCGTCATCTCGCGCGCGACATCGTTTATCGACGAGACTTTCCCTTGAAACCCACACCCACTACCGATGCGTGGA